CGCAGCCGCCGCCGCCAGCGGCTTCGCCCCAACTCCCCATCACGCCATTGCCGCCAGGCGCTTGCCCCGGCCCCCTTCACGTCGCCGCCCTTCCGCGTCCACCGCTCGCCCCGCCGCCCTTCGCTCAGCCAACTGCTCTGCCCCTCCACACCCGCCGCGCAGCCCCACAACCTCTTCTCGAAGCCACCCACCCAGCCCCGCCGCACACTCTGCGCCGCCCCGACGAACCCCTACGCATCAACGACGAGAAGAAGAAAAAGGGCGACGCCGAGGAGGCGCAGAGTGACTGTAGTGGAGACGACATGGTGAGCAGGGAGGCCGCACACGCCCTCGATCCGGCCGACCAGGGGTTGGCGCCGCTTGGTAGGGGCACTAGCAGCACGCCCCCGACGTGGACGCCTCCGGCCCTGGACGATTTGAACCGTCCCTCCTATTTTCTGCTCGGCAGGGGCAGTAGCACGCCTCTGACGCGGACGCCTCCCACCATGTGGTTGCCGGATGCCCTAGGGTTGCTGTCGATGCCTTGCGACCTGCTGCTGCTGGTTGCTGCAAAAGCAAACTGAATATCCTGCTGTTGCTGGCTGCTGCAGACGCAAACTGAATTTCGTGTTGTTGCTGGCTGCTGCAGACGCAAATTGAATTTCCTGTTGTCGCTGGCTGCTGCAGACGCAAATGCTCAGGTTCAGGATGGATATATGGGTGAGTTTTTATTTTGCTCAATATTAGAAAACATTTGTTTTATCCTTTGGTTCTTATCTCTTGAGTACTTCCTCTGTGACATTTTTGTAGGAACCTTCCATGTGTGATTGTTGACAGTACTATGAAAAATCAAAAGACTCCTGTATGTTTGTACTAACTGTTATTGTACAGATCTGGCCTTTTTCCCCTTGTATATGCGCTTCTGCTATGATCAAAGAAGAGCAAAATTCCTTCTATTTTACATACTCCATCAAACTATAATGAATTAGCTGCTATTTTACATGCAACTCCTGCCATTGTTATGCATGAATTTGCGTCAAAACAGATTTATTTCTTTTCCTTTTGTTTCAGGTTTTAAGTGAGGAATTTTTCTCTCAAAGTCGAGTGATCTAGGTAACTATAAGAGGTGGAATTACCGGAGACGCACTAATGTGATTATCTTAACATGTTATTAAGGTGAATAGTTGTCGAGTTGCAGTAACTATATTAGTTGTTGATAAGTCATGGTCTGCTGGAAAAATGATTTAGTGCAAACTACTCTAAAATAGCACTTAATTGTTGGTGTATCCTCCGTGAAGACTTGGTGCATCTGTCTAAAGATGCTTGCCAGTGCCTCCATTAGACCGTGGATAGTGCATATGATATTTAGAACTTACCATGTTCTTTACATTATTATGTTATATAACAAAAGTATATTTAGAACATTCACATATAAGCGGCCAAGGTTATTATTTTGCTTTCAGTGGATTAACAATTTATGTTGGCGCGGTATGAAAATTTAGTTCATGGTCATTTCTCTTATCTTTGATGCAACTGGATCTTTAGCATTTTTACAGTGTTTTCGAGATTAGTATGATATTATGTACTTCTGGTTCTCAAATTAAACATGGTTGATTTTTCTCAAATTTTTTAAAAAAATCTGTGACATTAATCTCACCTTGTAATGAGAAGGGAGATAGATATGGTGAGAGATAGATATAGGCAATGCTACAAGAGCATCAAGTTTTAATGTTTGGTTAACAATTTTGTAGGACACTGGAGTGAACATATTCGCATTTGTACAATCCAAACTAAATATATCATACTTATGGAGCATGAATTTAATTTGTATTTCCTTCCAGGATGCACTTACTCATGGCATCCATTTTAATAAGGTATCTCTTGGAAATCATATGGCATGCATGTATTAACTTTTGAACTTTGCAACTAAATTTGGTACTAAAACATGGTGTAAGTCACGGGTAAATTTTAGGTCATCATCCTAGCTCTAATTGGTTGATTTTCATGATCTTGCT